AATAATAATAATAATAATAATAATAATAATAATAATAATAATAATAATAATAATAATAATAATAATAATAATAATAATAATAATAATAATAATAATAATAATAATAATAATAATAATAATAATATGGAGACAATTAACAATTAGTTTTCAAGAAGTAGAAAATTCAATTAAATGACTGATATCATTAACTGTAATTTGGGATATTTGTTGACCAATATTTTTGTTTAATTAATAATATTTAAAGAAGGCAGAAAAAAAATGGAAAGAAGTAAGAAACAAACCTGATGGCAGATGCTGAATCACTACTCATTGAATCAATAAATGGTATAGATTGTTCAGAAATAAAATTCTCTGAGATAAGAACATTCTCATCGTTATCATCAGTCTCTTTTAGTAAGTCCAAATTAATCACACTGTTAAGACCATAATGATGTGGTGTATAACCTTCCTAAAATTCTTCAAAAAAAAAAAAAAAAAATTTAATGAAAGCAACTTACATATAATTATAATTATGATAATGGAAATTATAATAATAATAAATATTATTGTTATTACTATTGTCATTATCCTTATCAATTATTATTATTACTATTACTACTATTATCATCACTATTATTACCACTATTGGTATCACTATTACTACCACCATTGTTATCACTATAATAATTATTATTATTATCATTAACATTATAATTGTGACAATAATAATAATAATTATTATCACGCTAATACTAATACGCTATTGTTCTTTTTATTAATTCTAACTAATTTTTTGTCCACTTTTTTTTAAAATTCTTTAGATCCTTTTCTTTCTTCCAAGTAATATTTTAAAAAAGAAAAACGAACTAAAATAATTACATCATCCAATGCCTTTGAATCAGCTCCAGCTTTAATCAAAATTTTCATGTAATGTCCACCATCACGAGTAGCCGCTGCATAATGCATTGCTGTACGCCTATTCTTAAGGATTGGAAATTGTTTGTGGTTCATTACTCAATAACTTAATTTCAAATATTTCAACCTTGAAAAATTATCTTATTTTATGTTTTATTATTTCGACATGCAATAAATTAATTTTAAATATTTTAATCCAAAAAAACTACTTCATTATATGTATATTTGCAACAAATACATTCCAAAAATTGTTTGACAAAAAGTTAACTCAAAATGCAATAATTGAATTTGAAAAACTTCCCGAATTTTTAAATTGAAGATATCAAAAATTTCCCAACTTTTTAAAATAAAATATTTTGATTCAAACAAATAACTTACATAATCAGAAGCATTTAATGCAGATGGAAAATTTGATACAATGTGACGAATTATTTCCGTTTGTTCATAAATGATTGCAGTATGAAGTGGCGTTTGGCCAAATTGATTTCGAGCTATTGCCAACTTTTTTGAACTAATTAATTCCTTGACATGTTTTAGGTCACCTTTCTTGATTGTTTTATGAATTTCATCAATTTCGTCCTAAAAGTTTTTGCCTGTTTTACAAATTACATTAAGTTCCATTATTACCTATTTCATACTAAAATGATGAGATAGTTGTTGCCACTTACAAATAAAAGATTTATCATAAGGCGGTAATATAATAACTTTTCCATTACTATTCAAAATCTTTGAATTATTGTCATTTTTCAAATTTAACACCATTTGTCTGAGCCATTATTTCGAACATGCATGGAATTTTGGAGTTTCGCTCAAATTAAATAGCAAATTAATTATCGGTAAACAACACCATATATTTTAATATACCATTCCTATCAATAAATATTGGCTCTAAAAACGAACCTATTTAATTTAAAATATTTCACTTATTTTGCATAACACAGATAAACAACGATTAATCAATTCAAAATTGATATTAATTGCTAGCTAAATTTCATATTCAAAAAGAGTCTAAATATATTAATTTTTATATTTCAAACTAAAAACTCTTGACACTCATTTGAAGCGTGATTAGTTGATAAAAAAATTTCGAAAAAGCTTAAAGTTATGCAATTGCATAATTAATTGGTTATTGTTATATTAACAGTAATTGTTATCGTTGTTGTTGTTGCTATTACTAGTGAAATAAAACAATAATGAATGTTTGGCTAATTGTCTGTTCTATTCGTTTTTCATTTATTCGTGAAAAGAATTCAAACAAATTGTAGAAATAAGAAAAAGATAAAGAACAAAAATATGAAGAATTTTCCTGAAAAAAAAAAACTTTTCACTTGAAAAAAATGGAAGAAGGAAAGAGTTGACCTTGTAATTGGCATGGATGGCACACTTCAATGAAGAAAAGAATAACGTTTGAATAAAAATAAATAAAAAGGAAGCAATTTCTATTAAACAGAAGCAACTATTGATGTTACTGAAATCAGAACCGGAAGAAAAAGGAACAATACGGAGACATTATAATAACTTTTACTTCTTCAAGGTTAACGTTTCCGGTAATTCAAGAGAAGAGGAAAGAAAGATAGTATGTGAATATAAATTTATTTATGTACATATATATGATTATTCATAGGAATTGATTATTCAAAACGTTGTGTAGTGTAATTGGAATATATGAAGTAATCATGATATTAGTAACTTTGAGAAAGAAAAATAGCATTTATATATATATAAGAATTTATTATTTGAAATGGAAGCAATACATATTGTTTTAAAATTTAATTGAGATGTATCATGTAATTCGGATACAATAATTTTTTTCTTCAACATAAGAGAAAAGAAGGAAAAAAGGGATTTATTTATATGTGTATATAAGAGTAATTATGGAAATTTATTACTTAAAATATATAATCCGATTGGAACATAAAAAATAATTATAGTAATATTTAAATTAATAATAATAAATATGTTAATAAAGCAAATGTTACCAGATAATTATTCAAATGATCAAGGAAAAGGTTTGAGTTTGAATTATTTGTTGTGTGACCAAAAAGTAAATCACCACATCCTGAAAGTACCAGTTGCTCCAACTTATTGATATTACCATCCTGAAGCCATTGACGAATGTTTGTTTGCAAACAGGATGATGTCATGCGATTACGAATGATCTATAAAAAAATAATAAATATTCCATGTTAAATATATATTTGATCAAATAAAAAAATAAATAAATTAAATAAAGTAATTTGAGAAAATGTTGACAGTGTATGTTTGAATCAATATGTCACCAAGGAAATAAAAATTTATTGTAATTAAAACAAAAAATATAAATTTCATTTCAATCTTTTTTTTTTGAAATGAGTTAGAAACGAAGAAAAGCGGAATAAATTGAAAAATAAACTTTCTACTCAACAATTAAATTTTACGCTTTGATTGAAATTCAACGAATTAATTACTTCATCTAGAACGACTTCTCTATCTATGTTGATTGCTTTAAAATCAATTTCTTCAGGATTTTTAAGATAATAACTTGGTTGTTGACCATTCTGAAATTTATTATTATAACTTTTTTTTCTCATGTAAAACGAGAGATTGTTGAATGAAATTTTTAAAAATTATGAAAATAAGAAATGAAAATATTAATCAATTTCTAGTGGAAATTAGAATGAAATTATTGGTCATGCTATTATCAAAAAAACAATTTGCATGGATTTATCGCACGCAAGAGGAATCAATACTGAATTAAATTACTTTTTCAAATTAATTTTCCAATTTGATTTTACAATATTTGGCAAAGGCTAGATTTAATTAGCTGAATTTTGATTTAAACTTAAAAATTTTAACTTACACAATCGCAAATTTTTGAATCAGCTCCAACATTACGCATTTTTTTATACATGTAACCACCATCGGATAAAGCTGCTGCATAATGAAGTGGTGTTCGTTTATTCTAATGTAAATACGAAACAAGAATATTTAGTAATATGATATAAATAATTAAATACGCTATTAAATCAAAAACAATCGCATATGATATTAAGTAATTAAGTACATTTTTGAAATATAGAATAAAGTGATATACTGATCGATAGATGGTGAAATAAAAATAAAAAATCTGATAAAGGAATAAAAAAGATTGGACATCTTAAAACAATAACTACTTTGTAAGATGATAAATCATTGTATTAGCTTCGCAATAATGCATAATTTAAGTAATGATAGCATTAGTTAAGCTTTAATTGAATGGCTAAACTTTAATCCACTACTACCTCTTTTATTTATTTATTTTTGATTTAAAAATGTAAAATTTGAAAAAAAATTATCAAAATAATTTTATAAAGCAATTGGTACCGCATCCATTGCATTCGTTACTTGTGGATAATTTTTAATTAAAAATTTAACAATTTCAATTTGACCCAAAATGATCGCTTTATGCAATGGTGTTAAATGTCGTGCGTCACGACAAAATGCCATCTTTTTCCGATCTATTAATACTTTAATTGTTTGTAAGTTATCCGTTTCAATAGCTTTATGAATTGCATCAATTTTGTTCTGAAATATTAATGAAAATAATAACATAATTACCTCAACAATTAATTGCCGAATACAATTTGTGTTATAAATCAGATCAAACATTATTTTAATCAATTCGTTCATTCCCTTTTTGAATCATTTTTTAATCATAAAAAAATATTCTTTAGATTTAAATAGTTTTTTTTTTGGATACATTTTCTATTCGTCGCATTTTTCTTCAATGTATTGTTTAATCTTGATACTAATAAAACTAACCTGATATTGTGGTAATGCATTCAGGAAATGACGAACATCCGGATCATCAATTTCATACGTTCGACCGGATAATAAATCGGAGTAGCCATTTAGTACTAGATTATCTAATTTCCTCAAATTGCTAGTATGAATCCATTCAGAAATGTTGTCGTCAAAATCTATTTACAGGGTAAAATTATTGCGTAAACAGTAATTATTTGTGGAAAATAATTAAGATGTATAAAAATGCAAGCAATTGTTTTGTTTGTTCAATCATACTTAAATAATTAAATTATTTATTCGTGAAATAAGTTTTATTTGCAAAATAAATGATTACTATTATTTGCAAATTACGAGCAGAGTAGATTGTTTGTTTTTCTTAATGGTATTCAAATGATTAATTAACCTTGCAAAAGTGGTCCACTCATTTGACCACTAATAAGCTCATCCATCTGATCATTATCTTTAATCATTATTTTAATATCCAATTGATTCGCATTGTTTTGATAATAAAGTGGTGCATGGCCAAACTGTAATTATAAATTTATTATCACTTATTCAAATTCAAATTGTTAAAAAGATCTAATATTTTTCTACATTTTACAAAACTGCTTTAATTTGTTAATTAAGAAACTAACAATTAATGTTATTGTCATTTCAAACTTTTAAACTTACATGTCAATTTCAAAAATATAGCAAAAAAACATTAAATAATTTATTTTGATAGTGTATGAGTAAAATATAACTAACTAATATATAGCATGTGAGATGAAATTTTGAACGATTTATACTAAACGATGATTTAAAATTAAATTAATTTTGTAATTAAAATGAATTGAATACCTTATCTTCAATAAAAGCATCAGCGCCAGCTTTTTGTAGCATTTTTACCATAATTTTACTAGCTTGATTTGCGAAAGCATAATGTAATGCAGTTCGACCAGTCTTAAATTTTTTTAGATTTATTAAGACTTTTCACAATTAGAACATTCAGAAATAATTATTCAAAAATTTACATTTTTAATAATTTTTTATTTTGAAAGGTTTAATACAATTTTGAGAGAATATGATAAAATGATGAATTAATATTTGGAAATAATTTAAATCACATAGCATAATGAAAGAATATTAGCCTTGTTTAAAATAAACGTTTACTTTTCAAAAATTAATTTATAAATTTTAAACTAATGAAATTAAAAATAATTACATGATTGGTAGCATTAACACAGGATGGATATTTTGCTAACAAATAACGAACTACATTTGTTTGTCCATGCAATACAGCTATATGCAAAGGTGTCATACCTAAAAATTATAAATTATAAAATTAAAAATAATCACTATTTTGGTTATTTTATTATATTTGTATATTAGTTGTTTTATTATTTTCTTAAAAGTGAAATGATTAAATTATAGGTATATAATTGTAAATAATGTATAAATGTCTTTACAACATTAAGTATTTAAATAAATATTAAATACGAAATCAAATATTTATCTGATTAACACCAATGACGCAAGCATTACCATATCTATCGCGTGCAACAGAAAATTTCTCAACATCAATTAATGCTATCAGTTGTCCAATATCACCTTCTTCTGCTGCTTTATGAGTCATATCAATTTTATTCTGAAATGTTTTAAAATTTGCAACGAACAAAAATTTTGTCATTCAAAAATCTTTTAGCAAAAGCCAAAAAAAACTTCGAAAATTTCGAAATTTTATTAAAGTACCATTTTCGATAGAAATATATATAAATGGAAAAATTAAACTGAATGCATATCATTCATTGGGTGATTACTTGATATTTGAATAATTCTTTGAGAAATTGACTCATGGCAATATCATTTGAAGTTTTATCAGCTAATAAATAACCGCGACCGTCAAAAAAAATTTTCTCCAATTGTTGGACATTGCCATTTTCAAGCCATCGAATTATATCATTCTCAGTTGGAGCATCGGAAATAAGTACTTATTAAAAGTTATGTGAAAGATTTTGGTAATGATATAAAATCAATCAACTATGCCCATGATTGAGCGATTTAAACAAAATTTTTTAATTTGTTTTTAATTGAAATTAAATTGTCATCGTTACACTGTCATCATTTGTAAGTATAATTTTTTGATCAGTTTGGCATAATTGATTGATTTAAATAAAAAATGTGTTGTCATTATTTCTTATTCACTTCGTAATTATTAAAAATTTAAGTGAGAAAAATTCGTTTGATTTTTTTTCTTATCAAAAACAAATAAACTTCCATTAAGCGAATGTCGTTTAATAGTCAAATATTTGAAATTCATTTCGAATACAAAAAAAAAAAATAGAATAAATAGAAAATGCATTGCTATTATTCTTTATTCATTTTGTAATTGCTAAGAATTTAACTAAAATTAATTAATTGATTAGAACGAAGTTCGAGCAATTTTTTTTTACCTGGATCAAATAGATTTTCACTAAGCGAATAACGTTTGAAAGTTAAATCATCACTCATTGGTGATAACAATGGTGATGGTATTACAGCATCAGAATTTTCACGATATTGTGCAGCTGTTATACCAATCTCAAAATTTCATCAAAATTTTAGACTAAAAATTTAATTAGAAGCATTTATTTCACAATAAAAACTGCTCAAAAAAGTTTTGTAATTTTAATCATTTAAATTAAGAACGAATAAAAATATTTTAAATAAATGAAAACAGATTTGAAAGCATTTGGTATTTATGCAAATGAAGGAACACTATACTAAGGTTGGAAATTGAATGATTTTATTAAAATTATCATCATTTAAAGAAGTGAAAAAGAAATACTTTTAGCAAACAAATATTTCCTGAAACTTACAATTCAAAATGTAAAATATTTAAATATGAATATTCAATATATTAATTAAAATACAAAAACATTAATGTGATAATCAGTTTATCATGTAATCACTCACAATTTTATCACACATACTTAATTTGAAGCATTAGTTCGTGTAAATTATCATACCATTGTAATAATCAAATTCTAAAAAATATCTACTATGGAAAATTGCAGAAAATATTTATGGAAAATTACAGAAAATACCTATTACGGAAAATTTCAGGAAATACCTATTATGGGAAATTTCAGGAAATACTTATTTCAGGAAATATCTACTATGAGTTTGTTTATTGTACGCCTATTTTACGTTGCTCACTTTTAATTCATTTGCCTAATTTTATTAACAATTGATAGAACAGTTGAACGGTTCGTAAAATAATTTATAATTAATCAAAATTTGCACGATTGTTATTGCACGTAAGCACTGCGTGTTTCATGTGACACGTCAATAAATATGAATAGACTTTAACATACCTTATCAGGAAGTGAACTATCTGCGCCACAATCAATCAACGTATCATAAATTGCATTCTTTTGAGTTGCTGCATAATGTATTGCTGCCCTACCATTCTGAAAAATCTTTAATTGATTACTTAATATTTTAATTACATGACCAAAAATTGGTTTTTCATTTTAAATTACAATATAATTCTGGAGATAATATCAGTAGGGCTATCTGATCAATTACAATGAAATCAAATCTATTCTATTAATTATTACACATAAAGCTTAGCTGCCTTTTTATAAATAACTAAAACTTTAGATGATATTAGTCATAAATAATTAAAATTTAGTTCCACAACAATAAGGATAAAATTACCTTGATTCAATAAATAACTAATTTTTGAGATCATTAACAAATTCTATTGGTAATTAACAATAAAATAAATACAAATTTAAGGGAAGTTTTTCTTTCAGATATTTGAAAATAATAGAAATTTGAATTAATGACATCATTTAGGACAAATAATACCGCATCTAAAATATCGATGCTTTTTGGAAAAACATTTGCGAGATAATTGACAATTTCATGGCGTTCATAACATACAGCAATGTGAATTAAACTTAAACCTAAAAATAATTAAATCTTTCTTTCTTGTAACTTTGAAAAAAATGATCGAATAAAAAAATTCTATCAAATTAAGAAAAAATAAAAGATTGAGATAAAAAGGAACATGATGGAATGAAATTTTTCAAAATAAAGTGCAGGTTTTCTCCATTTTTTTTTCCAATCAATATTTCCTTTTTAAATAAAAATTCAAAAAATAGCAAAAAAAAAAGGAAGATAACTCTGGCATTCCTTGCTTCCACCAAATCACTGTCAAGTAAATTTCGTAATTTTTTTAACTGATTTTCTTTAATAGCTGTTATTGCTGCATTTAAACGATTCTGAATGAAAAAATCAAATTATCATAAAATTATTCAGAATATCAAATTAAAAAAAAAGAAAATTAATGGAAGAAAAATTATTTCTTTCTAAGTTTATTTGATTCATTTGAAATAATTTCTAATCTTTTAAGTAGGAAAAAATTGAAATGAATGGAAATCTTCTCATCAAAGAATTAAAAAATATTAATCCGTTTTAGAGAAGATCAGGAAAACCTGCTGTTTCCGGAATCGTGTTATGTATTGTATCAAATGTTTGTTATCCAAATGTTTACCAATAATTTGGCTAACTCCTTGCAGTTTTCCAGTAATTTGTAAATCTTCTAATTCGGTGAATTTTTTTGCATCAAAATCTAAATTCATTATACGATATTCCAAGTCTCCCTGTTTTGTTTTAGTTTCATCTGAAATGCACAAAAATATCAAGTATTGTATTTGAATAATTATATGATATTTGCTATGCTTATATATTATTATATTTGAATAAGTAAGTATATGGCACTTGTCACGTTTATATATAAAATATTAAATTTAAATAATTCTATGACATTTGTTACATTTAACAATAGAAAAATTTTATGCATCTTTTTAAAATAAATTTGGGTACGTTAAAATAAGCAATAATGTAATTTGCATTGTTAATTATATTATTCTTTTTTTTTCTGGTAAAGTATTTAAATATCATATTGGTGCATATTTCACATAAGAATGTTGTTTACAATTTTCATTTTTTTTCTAAGTTTTTAATTTTTTAAAAATATTTCATCAGTTCTTTCTAATACTTCTCATAATAATAATACTTACTTATGTCAACATGTTTTCTTATTTTCATTTATAACATATAAGAAAAGAAAAATTCACTTTTTCAAAAAAAAGTCCCAAAGAAAAGATTATTTTAATTTCTTTTTTTGAATGAAATTTTTTTATATTCATGAAAATCCAATGCATTCACAGATATTGGTATCATTTTACTAATTACTCAACATATTATCATTGGAAGAGGGATAAAGGGAAATGGTAATATTATTCTAAAATAAAATTAACACAAACTTTTTGAATGTTTTTAACAACAAAAACAATACATAAACAAAAAGTAAGGTAAACGATGCTTTTGGTTAAGAAAAAATTTTAGTTCACTTATCAACTTTTAAATCATAAATATAAATTTTTAAATCTCAAAAAATTTTTTTATACCATAAATAAACAATATTCTACAGTCCCTTTTCATTTTATATTTTGCACTGAATTATTTAATCACAGTTAAGAAGTAAATATAAAAATTTGTGACAGTTTAAAAATCAAAATTTTTGTATAAAACTAAAAAATAAAAAATAGAATAGTTTTGAAACAAACACTGACCTGTAGCCATTGAAAAGTTCTTTATTGGAAGTTTTTTTTATCTAAAAATTAAAATGTTTTAACAAGAGTAGAGAAATTGTAATAAAATGATAATAACCGAGAAGCATCCTATTAAAACAAGCCCAAGTTGTCAACTACATTAGTGTAATACATAATCAAGAGATATATCTGAGAGAGAGGAAAAATGGAAAATGTTTAAATTAATTCTGTCATGTCATGATGATATCAAATAGTGAAAATGACATTTTTAATTTTATTCTAGCTACACTCCATTAATACTAATATCTAAAAAGCATCATGAATAAGGCATTGAAATTTCAGCGATGCTCTTAATATCAACCATTTTAGGATTCAATTTTTAATATTGAAAGATATTTTTCAAAAAAGGGAAGGCGGAGAACAGGATGACTCTTTTGCTTATGAAATTATAAAAAAAAGAAAAATGATTTTCCTTTACCTTTTAATTAACTTCTAATTGAAGGTGCTAGAAATGGAAATTCAATACTTGCTTTTTTCCCTCTCCTTTTTCTATAATATTTCATTGATAAACTGAAATTTAAGGCTTGAAATAAGCTAATTAAAGAGCTAAATGAGAAAAAGTAAGGAACAAAAATTGATGCTATGCAAAAATGATTTGTATTTAAGGCAAACAATCATAAGTTAATTAAACGTTAGCTGTGGATTATATGCAGAACATTGTGTGAAAATTTCAAATCATTTTAGCAATAGTATACGATGTGATGCAAAAATGATAAATTTTATTATGATATTTAATTATTTGAAAAAGGATAACATTCTTTTTTAAAAATTTAATTCGTATCAGAATTATCCAATCCTGCAAGCACAGATGCTTCTTTACTTCACTTGTATTGAAATAAATGTTTGTATAAAACAATTTGAAAATAATTAAATCTTATCAGTTTAGAGGACCAAAGATAACTCTAACAAATGCTACATTGTGAATATTCCATTTGATTGAAGCAAATTAAGTAATAATTGGTATTTTAAAAGTATAAACTAACAATAAAATGGAGGAATGAATGCTAAGATTTATTAGCCATTAAAGCAAATAAAAATGAAATTAAAAAAAAATAACAAACTATATTTTTCACGTTTTTCAATAAAATTCCATTTAGATATTTCCATTAATGAGAAATATTAATGAATAACTTCTTTGAAAATCTGCTAACTTAAAAAAGTGCTAATTCCCCCAGATGACAAGCAAATTGAAATCATGGATAGCATAACTAATGAATAGATAAGCAAAAATAATGCATTATAAACTTCATCCATCATATCTCTTTAATTACCAGCATTATAGCAATATCGTTTACTGTATTTTACATTGCACACTGTCACAACATTTGTCTACTGCATTTCACAAAATAAAATACTATGACATTTTTCTCGACAAAATGTTACATCCGATATTGGTATGACATCTGTCTACTGTCGCCGTTTGACATACAGAATCAAGTGACGATTTCACATCAGATATTTCTATTCATATTGGACAATTAACCAAATTTAATTTACTAAAATCAAAGAGACACTAATTACATTCGAATAACCTTTTACCATGACCTTTCACCTCTATGTATCCGGTTCTTTTCTTTCAAATAAAATTATTCGTTATGCAAGAAGCTGTTCATGGTTTAAGATAAATTACTGAAAAGATGTAGCTTCCTACACTACAAAACATTGCGGTAACTCTTCATTGATGTTTACCTTATGTATCCTACACGTTTTTCCGGATTACGTAAAAGTTTTGTAAGCTCGACTATACCAAACAAAATTTAAATATTTTATAACAAATTTTTCTGTTTAAACAATAAGAAATTATTGATTTCTTAATGTAAACCAATTGATGATTATTTTTCCTAATATTTCTGGAACTAATTTCAATATGTATATAAGTTTCATTAAAGCATCAAATCTATCTAAATTTCAATAATGTCATCAAATACACTGTGACATTTTGTTACTGTTCAATATATGTCTAAAGACCAATTAAACGAATGGTAATGTTGTCTCATTTTCAGCAAATGAAGTGATCAGTGCCGAAAGGTTGACAGATTAATATTTTTGAAATATTTCGAAGTGTGTAATGTATGGCTCAATCAATATGCCCCTATTTTTTCCATGCCTGAATGAGCTAAGTCATGCTGTTCTTTTACTTTGGAATGTCTGTTCACAAAATACTAATTGCCTAAGAAGTAAGGAGGACATGTGTCACATATGATGTACGTAATGAGCAATTATATTCGGTAAAGCGAATGATTAAAGGGATTGTATTACGAGAAGTCTTCAACCTATTCAATTGGTACGACATCACATTTGCATAAATGAAACGTAGATATCGAATGTGTACTTCAAATGGGCCATTCTTGCTAAGCAGAACTGGCAAAAATTTTTAAAACAGAAAATTTGTTTCTTATATTTTTTATATGGGAAGAAATTTTACTGAGTATTTTTAAATTTAAATAGCTTTTCAAGCTTATTCATCTCTCACCAAACTGTAGTAAGTTTAAAATTTGATGTTAGTAAGATTAATCAAGTTTATCATTTTATCGTTATATTCTTATCTGGCATACAATGCATGCATAATCACAAAAAAGATTGATGAAATTTTCAAAATACAACTGAGAATTGAAAGAGGGAGAGATAGAAGAATAAAACAGTAATGGTGAATGTAGAAGAATAAAGAGGAAAAAAGAACTAAATTAATTAATTCAAAAAAATAAACAGTAAATACATAACTAATTTGAAGTAAATTTTTCAGATTTTTGTTCGTACTTTGGTTTGTTTCTGATGATTAATTGTAGAAGAATGAAGTATGAAACCAAATGATGAACATAATGATAGTATAAATAGCATTGTTATCCATATCGAAATACTTTTTAAATGTTTCACTTCTAAACAAAATAATAGTAAATTAAGATTGTAATGAAAGAGAAGAAAAATAGTATTTGAGATATAATAGAATCATACATTTCATTTATTACCCACTTGTTCTTTAATTCCTTCTTTTTTTCAAGAAAGGAAATTTCGTTTCATTATTAAATATTATCTTATCTAAGGTTTTCCAATTAAGTATTACAAGAAATGATTAGCATAAAAATGATAATATGAAATAATCTGTATCTAGCTTATTGCGTCTTTTTGAAAATAATTCCAAAATATTTTAAAAAAGGAAGAAGTTAATAATTAACTTACCTGATATCGGATTGAAGTACGCTTTTATAATTTCATATAGTAATGTTCTTAATGTTACCGCTATGTTACCTGTCTAAATCATGATTAGATGTTATTATGTCATAAAATTCATTCCAGGCGAAATAATGGTTGGCAATTTCAAAGATCAATAACAATTTGTAAAATGATTTGCATCTAATTAATTAATCCTATTTAAATTATGCTTAACCAATTAAAAATTAAATATTTCAATTTTAACAGTGAAATAAACAATAAGTAATTAATTGTTAGAGAAACTTACAACAACAATAATATTAGACCAAATTAAAATTGATCTTTCGGTGATAGCAGCAAGGGAAAGAATAATTCCATTGATGCAAATTGTTGAAAGTAGAAAAGGATGTGAGTATTGTTCCATTCCATCAATGATATATTCAAATGTTATCAAGACTGATGAAAATATTATCATTATTGTACCCAAAATACATAACCATATCTGTGAAAAAATAAATTTTCTCATTCTCAGATCATATTTGTTTGAATTGATAATGATAAAATGTTATCATGCAAACATTTTAAATTATCATCCATTTGCTTATTATTTAATTAAATGCTTAGTGATTCTTATCATTAAAAACTATTTATTCGACAGTAAAAACCGTAAAATAACTCAAAAGAATTGTCATATTGTCATTATGCTTACATACACGCACGCACCGTTAGTATATAAAGTATTATAAGGAGTTACCTAATTATGTGACTATATTACTTTGTACATATATAAATACGTTGTAAAACATTTCAAAAAACAAAAAAGGAATATTTTGCATAAAATCAAAAAGGAATAGAAATAAAAGTAAACAAATTTCACGTTCACATGCCTTTATTGGTTTCCACATATGAATTGTAAATGATAGAATTTTATGCTAGAAATTGGTAATATTTCAAAAAACGAAGTTGTAACGATAATTTTCAATGGAAATTTTGCAAAAGTATTCTTCAGAGTAAATAGGAATTCTAAATGAAACATTCAAGACAACTTGTAAGCGATTGAACCGGATCACCAAATGATCAATCCGGAAAAATAACAAATTTCTGCAAATTTGTAGACATATGCAAATTACAAACAGCCCTTAATTTCGTTCAGTCAAAACCACAAAAATATCCCTTA